GCCCACCCCCACCCCTCCCCATCCAACATGGCATTCGGCCCACACGAGGCTGAGGCCATCGGATGGAAGATCGGCGCCTTCCTGTACGAGCCCCCCGCTGCTGTGGCCGCCATCGACCAGTATCTCATCGGCGAGTCGGTGCTGAGGCGCCGCGTGACGGCGGCCGTCACCCACTTCGTCAAGTCGGCGGCCACACAGACGAGCAGCAACAGGCAGGTGGTGGGCGGGACGCGATACCGGCAGCAGGGCGACAGGCGCGTCAAGGTGACCGTGCCGTCGCTGCAGTGCTTCGCCGTGAGTGGCAGTGGCGGGCAGGTGGTGCTGACGGGTGTGGGTGAGGTGGTGCACCGGGCCCGGCTGGACGAGGCGGCCAGCTGTGGTGTGGATGGAGTGGTCAAGGGCTTCAACGAGCATCTGGGCGATCAGGACTGCCAGTTCGAGTGGAGCCAGCTGGGCCGCATCGACAAGGGAACCGGGATGTTCGTGCCGCTGGGCATCGAGTGAGTGAGAGAGGGAGAGGAACTGGCGGGTGGTGGAGTGAGTGGTTGGACGGAGGATGGGGGAGTTGTGTGTGGTTCAGGCAGCTCTTTGAGTTCATTGTGCCGTCATGCGAGAGACTTCATGACTCATTTCAACGTCAATTTTGTTTCAGCTACATTAGAGATGTCCGTGCATCCTCAAGACGGTCTACGCCATGCAAAGCCACATCCATCCATCCATGCATCCATCCATCGGCGCAGTCCCACTGCATTGCAGTGCAAATCATCATGATACACGGACCAGAAAATGACGGTCCTCAAAGGGAGAGACGCGTCCATCCCTCCCACAGGCACACAGACACTGACGGGTGGACGGTTCACTCGGATTTCTTCTTCGGCTCGTCGTCTTCGTCGGGTGGGGTGAGGGGAGGCGACGCGCGGCTCTCGGCTGTCGACGGCAGAGACGCCTGCGAGATGGACGGAAGAGAGAGCCAACACAGGCAAGTGCGTGAAGCGGCATCGTCTGTTTTCTGTGTAGGTGCACTGCCCACGTACCGGCGAGTTATCTGCGTTGGGGTCGAAGGGCTGGGCCGAGTCGATGCTCTCGACAATGAAGTTGTGGTTCGTGCCGATGTCCATGTCTGTCCAGGCACACACGTGCCATGACGACGCGATGAACGATGACGGATTCATACGCACGAGGCAGCCCCCCTGTGTCTGTCTGTCTGTCTGTGTTCACCGCTGCGTACCAGCAGCGATGTGCATGGCCTTGAGTGCGATGTCCTTGGCCGGCAGGTCCACCTTGGCATCGATCAACGCACGAGCAGCAGCTGCACACACAACATACACACGCGTGTTTGAGAGCACCGACGAATGCCTGGTGGTGACCTCACCGAGAGCGTAGTTGCCGCCAGACCCGACACCTAACACAAGCAGTGGACGGCGGCAGAAAAGCATCTCAGCGTGTTGATCTTTTACATTTCACTCGCTCACCGAGTATGCCGTCATGGCTCTCGAGGACGTCGCCGTTCCCCGTCACCTCCAGTGACAGCTTCTCGTCGGCAACTATCATCACCGCCTGCAGCAGTCCCACGCGATGCACGCAGAGGATAGGATGGATTCATCTCGCTCCGCGCACCTCTAGGTTTCTGAGGTATCGGTCCAGACGCCACGCCTTGGCCAGCTCAACGCAGGCGCGCAACAACTGACCTGATCGATCGAGGCACAGCAGAAGAAGCACATGAAATGTACGGCATGGCGCTGCGTGCATGTGTTCATCCCTCAGTACCGGGGTACTCTTCGAGTTTGCCCTCCAGCCTGTCAACAAGCGTCAAACAATCCGCCGTCGCACCTGCAGGCCACAAGACACACAGGCACCAACCACCGTCAAACATGAGCTCGACCGAGCTGCCGTCGACTCGTACCGACCTGCGAATCCCGCGATGACGTTGCTCTGCAGCTTGCGGAGTTTGCGTGCATTGGGCTTGATGATGGTGTTGCCCTGCGTCACCTGACCATCACCAACCATCGCCTGCAGACACGCCACGCCAAGACGAGGCAAGGAGGCAACACGACAAACCAACACACCAACCAGTGCGATCATTATCAGCAGCAGCCTTCAGCACATCATTCTGTTGGTATCCACGCACCACTTGATTGCCTTTGCGGACGCAGAGGATGGTCGTGGCGTGTCGCGGCTCCAGCGGTCCATGGCCGCCAGATCCGGCATGAAACTGGTAGCCCTGAGGCGGATAGCCGTAGCTGGGCCCTCTCCAGTGCGAGTAGCCACGGACACACTGCACACACAGGCAGACAAGACAGCGAGATCTGCGTGACCTTGTCAGCAAGTGAGATTGTCTTGACGAAGCGACCCACCTGTGAGAGAGGCCGCCCTGCAAGAGAGGTAAAGCTCGTCAGAGGCTTCATCGCTGTCTTCATTACTCCGACGCCTGCGAGCTTAGCGAAATGAGGCGGTGTGAAATGGAGTCCCAGTGAGCATTCTGAGGGCAGTGCAGCGTTGCCTGAGGCCGCGTTGAGCCATTCTGCTGTGGATCGACCCACCTTGACTCATGCGAAGGCTCCCAGTCCACTGCGCACAATGGTACTTGCGGTTATTGAATATGACTGAATGACACGCTTCGCTTAAGCTTCAGCTGGATTGATCCCATTCACGCTTGTTCATGGGATTCGCGGCTGAGAAGCGGATTGAATGAGATGGATCAATTCAGTTGTGAAATGAAGACACGCACAGGCAGGGCACAAGAAAGACATTCACTGACCGTGTCAAGGGCATCAAGCAGACACGCCAGCTATCGAGCAGTACGTATGCACACAGGCGGCATCTACGCAGATTGCAGCCGTACCAGCTCCAGCGATATACGTCTGTTCAACCCTTCCTCGTCATCGCCAATCGCCTCGCTGTCATCGGCCAGTAGCGCGTAATGGTCTCTCTCTGCCTGGTCAATGCACTGCTCGACTACTGAAGGGGAGCCAGGCTCGACATACCCCCCCAGAGAGAGGGTTGCAGGTCGCACAGCAAAGGCTAACGCCACGCCAGACACCACCTTGTCTGTCGTATGACCATCATGCACCTTGACAGTGAGCGAGGCGATGTGAGGGTATCGGGTGCACTCGGGGACGGCTTGCGCCTCTGAGCTGCCCGATGCCCAGGCCGATGCCGTCACATGCACGCTCTTCAGCTTGGCAGTGGGGGGCAGCTGCGATAGGCAAAACGCTGCCACACCCAGGTTCGACAAACAGCCTAGGCTAAGTTTCGTGAGCCTATCGAATGTCCCCAGCAACGCACCCAGGCCATCAAGCCCTGTCGCGTCATCAGGCAGCCTCCGACGCCCCCGACCGTCGTCGCCCGTATCGAGGTCGAGGGTGGTGATGTTGGGCAGATGGCGATTGCCACCGGTGGTGTCGCTCTTGGCTGCCATCCACTGCGGCACACTCGACAACGCCCGGGATGACGACAGGTCCACCATCATGAGACAAGTGGCCTTGGTGAAGACCAGCAGGCCGGCCCACGACTGGTCCAGAGGCTTCCCGCCACACCACAGAAAGACCTGTTTGTATCCATCCGTGCAGCCAAACAGACAGTGAGCAGGAATCGATGTTTGTCCCTTTGCAGTCTTGTGTTGGTGCCCTGCTCACGTCGTGGGCCGTGCTGCACATGATTTTGATCATCTTGGCGATGGGGCCAGTGGGTGCAGGAGGCGAAATGACGAGGTCCCTGGAGCAGTCGATGTCCATCCGACTCGCCTTCCAGTCGATCGTGCACTTGACCGACGCTGCAGACAGACACAACACGACAGAGATGCGTAGCATTGCAATCCTCCCGTTTGTCCATTTGTCAGATCGTCCTACCAACTTACCAGCCCAGTCGAGAAAGGCAGGAAGGCTCATGGCATCAGGGTCTCTGGAATGGAGCAGCTCATGGGTGAAGGGGACGAAGATCCTGCCACTGAACTCCAGGCCGATCCTCTTCTCAACGTCTGCACATAGGCACAGACAGTGCGGTCAGCCCGCTGTCGGTGGCTCCTCTGTCTGTTCTCGCTCGGTGGCTCACGCACCCTTTAGGCTATCCTTGCTCCAGATTGGGTCGAGAGCACGCTTCAGCTTGCCCAGCTTGAGGGCGAATTCGTGGCTGCCGTCCATCTCAATTCGGTCCATCTGAACCCACTTGATGTCGATCAGGTGCGGGCATCCCTGAATGAGGGAGGCGAAATCATCCAGCGAAATCACACTCAGGTACCCGATCGCTGGAAACAAGGAGGAGGGACAGGGGAGTCATCTATTGGTGCAGCAGCCGCATGTGGGAGGCATGACTGCTCACACAGGGACTTGAGCTTGGGAGCGTGATCCAGGATGTCCTTGACATTACGCTCAAGCCAGTTGGGCATCTTAAGGCGAAGAAGAGATGGAAACTGCCACCCACGGAAGCTTAACACACACACACACACAGAGGGGATGATCAGTGCATAGCGGTGTGACCATGAAGAGCACTGATACTTACCCACGGTGATCTGGCCACGATTTGACGTAAAGGTCCTCCAGCTGTGAGAAGGCCACAGTGGGCGGCGATGTCGGCACGCTGTAGTGATAGCTGAAGGTCTCGCAGAGCTTCATGCTGGTGATGGTGTCGCGGGAGGCCTCGATGCACTTGAGAGGGAAGGAGAGGCCCTTCCAGTAAGTGCCGATGTGCACCGTCCGCAGCCGACCCTGCAGCATACAGGACAGACACACCATAGAATAAAGTCAGCAATGGTCTCTACTTAAGAGTGGTGCGTGACCCACCAGTTTCTGCTTCAGATTGTGGAGCGTCTCGTCCTCTCTCTGCCGCCTGAGGTCCGCCCCACCCGCCGCCCCCTCCCCGGCCGAGTCGTCCTCTCCCTCTTCCTCTTCATCCTCCTCGTCATCTCCATCCTCCTCATTGCTGTCGTCGTCAGAGACGCCGAGGTCCTCACCCCTCCGTCTGGCGTTCCTCCGAGTGTTCCGATGCCACCACTGCCAGTCGTCCACACCGATGACCAAATGGCGGTACACGCCCCTCGTGTCGTCGGTGACGACCTGCTTCATGGCCTGGTTGACGCGGGAGAGGGGGGCGGCGTCTTTGGTGGGCAGGAAGGCCAACACAATGTGGGCCACGTCGGGCGGCAGACCGTCCAGACACGGACGACCGAGCTGACCACACACACAGGGGCCCACATGTCGTGTGTGGATGTTCGGGCTGATTTGGTGTGGCTTGCCTGAGATATTTTGGCGTCTGGTGGGAGGGTTTTGTTGGCGATGGGCCGAGGGAGTGGCGGCTTGGCGACGCCCACGCTGTCGAGTGTCTTGATGAGACCCCGCAGCATGTCGTGTCGCCACATGACCGACTGATCCAAAGTCTGAAGCTTATTCGACAGGCCCGGCACCTGCCAACACACACATCAGCACTCACAGACAGAAGGAAAAGTGTGTGTCTGTGTGTGTGTGTGTGTCTGTGTGTCTGTGTGTGTACCTTGTCGGCCAGGGTGGGCGTGACATTTGGTCGCACCTTTAACAGCACGGCCGCCGTCTGCACCTCGAGCGATTTGATCTTCTTCAACAAGGGGACCAGCCGACAAACATTCGCCTTGTCGGCCTGATGGAATGAACGAACACACGGGCACACACAGAGCCATCAAGTGTGTCTGTCTGCGTGTGTCGTCCCTGCAGGTGGTTGTGCTGCTGACCCAGTCTATGACGGGCCGCATTTGTTGGTCCGACGGCTGGCCGCCATCTACAGCTACACCAGTGCTACATCCACCACCTGCATGACGAGAGTGCACCACACAACAAAGGCAGCCGGCAACCAATCAGTGAGTCGGTCTGTTCCCTTCACGGGTCCCTCTTCCCACCTCCAGCAGCAGCAGCAGCAGCTGGCGATGAGTCATAAGTGTCTACACGAGGCCGCTTGCCGGCATTCTCGTCAGCTCCGCCAGGCATCGAGCGAACCAACAACAGATCTGTCTGGCGCCTCACGCCTGCAAACCAACAACAGATCTGAAGCGATTGCTTCTCTCTCTCTTCTGTTGAATAAACGGGCGACGGCCCTCTTATTCTGTCGCGGTTGGCACCTACCTTCATGAGTTCCTATGGATGGAGCAGCAGATGGATGGAGCGTCCAGCAACAAAGCTAGCAGGGGACGTGAGGTTAACGAACGTCCACACCTCCAGCAGCAGCAGCAGCAGCAACAGCGGGCGATGAGTCAATATTGTCCACACGAGGCCGCTTGCCGGCATTCTCAGCAGCTCCGCTACACATCTGCAAACCAACAAAAGCGATTGCTTCCCTCTCTCTTGTTCTGTGCCCGTTGGCACCTACCGCCATGAATTGCTATGGATGTACCAGCAGATGGGTCATGTGAAGCCAAGCTGGGCGCCCGCGCTCGTGAGGCTTGATCTTGATGACAGCACGTCCCTCTCATTAGACCATTGGCGCCAAGCTCTCATTAGACCATTGGCGCCAAGCTCGCAAATGGTGCCGATCGGGAGGGAAAAAAGTGAAGCGAAACGGCTCTTTCGCATGTTGTTCCAGGTCAGCAGACACCGTAAGGAAGGAAACAAGCGAAAAGACGGAACATGCGTGGCCTCCCTGCTTGCGCATGCGTGTGTTGTCAGGTGTTGAGCCCTGGGAAGAAGCAAATGGAGAAGCAGCGTTGCGTTTGTCTTGGGAGTCTGATTCACCTGCCGATGGTATGCTATGAGGACGAATGAACGAATCAACGATGTGTGATGGAAAAGTAAAAAAAAAGGCGGAGAAGCACACGGGCTGGGATGGCATCTCTGTGTTCTCACTGCAGGTGTCGTTGGTAGCCTTGTTGTGGCGGCCGTCGACTGACTGACTGACTGACTGACTGACCAGGTACGCCGGCAGCGTTGCACGGAAGTACACGCAAGAGGCAAGTGAGTGTGTGGGTCGCTGTTTGTGCGTGCAGTGATGTGGCTCGGTGTGATGGCCCAATCATCGTCTGCCGCATCACAAGCACCTCCTGTGCCGCCCGGCTGCAAGGGGCTGGAGGACGTCGACATTGTCCCCGATGAGGGCGTCAGTCCTCCCAGTCGGCAGCTGTTGGAGGGCTGCATCCGCCGCACCTTCAGCGATGCCGCCCAAGTCACACAGCTGATCGAGCAAGGAGCCGACCCGAGAGCCGCCGGCGGCCTTCGTGTCCACGGCGGCATCCCAGGAAGAGCCCCGTACTCGCAATACAGCTGCCTGCCTTTCGCCATCGACAGCCTAACAAACTACCCATTG